TGTTCCACAGCAGCTGCCATAAATCACCTTTCACAATCCAATGCCCGAGCACATCTCCAACCAAGGTGCATCCCTTTGTGGAGCTGCCCACTGGCAAGTTATACCGGTATCGATGGGTCACGCACTCGTAGAGTTGAGCTCGCACCTCGACAATCAGGTTAAGGAGCGGTGTTGCGTCATGGAAACACAAACTATGTGATAAGCTTCGCAGCTTCGTGACCCCCCCCAAAAAAATGGAGCATAAATCTCAAAAAGGCACAAGTCGCACTCCTTGGGAGGAAACATATTTGCCAGCGTTCCGCTTCCCACAGCGCCGAATGTGGCAAAGCACACTGTCATCTCCTTGGGGGCAGCGCAAAGGCAGCTCGCAGTAGGCCAGCTCAGCACACGCTATATCTTCAAAAATCTCCTTGGCATGGCCTGCAAGGGTCAAAGATGTGTCATCCGTTGGCAGGTTTGCTAGGGAGTTTTCCGCAAAAGCGTGCACACGCGCAGCCCAATCGGCCAAGTTGACGAAGGGCGCGTCAGAAGCAACGCGACACTTTTGAAAGCAACGATCTAGCACATGTGGTGACTTTGAAGATTCGACTGGCCGGGCCACCAGAAGAGGCAAAGTCACCGCGATATCCGGCAAAATGCAGGGGTAAGGGTCGTTACTAGACATTCGCCAGCATCCTCCACCATCTTTGTGCTGTGAGCAGCAGCCCCCTCTCTTCGGGTAGCGGTCAAAATCTCTCACCAATGTTTCACCCTGTTGAGGCTGAGACCAAACACAGCAAAAAGATGTCTGCCTCCGCGGGTGTGGAAAGAAATCACCTTGCTGCAGAGGTCTCTGCGCAGTGTGCAGCTGAGGCAGCTTTGCCACGTTGCACAAACTGCCGACGCTCACCATTGAAAGAAGTTTGGCCTCATCCCTGGACCGAGCAGCAGCCTCAGCGATAGGGATGTGCTCCTGGACCTTGGGTTGGTGCTCAGGCCCACAATTGGTCAGGGGATGAAAATAAGGGTGAAACTTCTGCAAGCTGCTTCGACACGGTAGAGCCAGCTTGCCTTCCGTGGGCTTGCAAGTGTGGTTGAGAACCCGGGAAAGCTGGGAATGCGTGAATCCGCAGGAGCAGGAGAAACCATCTTCGCAACGCCTGACCCGCCGCACAGCTTCCTCCAAGTCCGCCTTCTGACTCTCATGGTTTTCATGAGCTTGGAGGTGGCGGTCCCGATCTCTGGCAAAGTTGCGGGCGTCCGGATTCAACTGAAACTTCCACGTGTTCCCACGGGCGAAGCATTCCTTGTTGGGAAGGCACTGGCACGCCAGCCCAACGTACTCACATTCCCACATTGACATGCCGTAACGGAAGTGCTGCCTAAACAGGTAGTGTTAAACATGTTTCGAGAAGCAGGTAGTGTTAAACATGTTTCGAGAAGCTCTTTGGATCCACTGGTCTCGATGTCATTATCAGGACGTCAACTCACTTGAAGCGGTGTGCTTGACGGAAGGGCTTTTCTGACGTTGGTGACTTCGAGCCGGAGCATATCTCCAGAGCAGAGATCAAAAACCGTATCACCAGCAGGACCCTCCAACCTCCCACGCGAGCTGCGGGCCTGCAGCGGCACCCCGGACTGGAACAGTCACTCGGCAACACACCTGGGTGTGACTCTCGTGAAAAGAGTTGTAATGTTTGGCAAACATGCTTGGCAACCAGCCCTATATCTCCACAGGCCCCAATGATTGCCCTTAACTGAAGAGTCACCCTTTCTTTTCCTCTCAAGAAGAAGCTTACCACCCTTTCCAAGGCAAAAAGGCCTTGTTTGCAGTAATATTGATGCCTGTGATCACCTGTCTAAACAATGCTACTCTATATACCGGAACCTGCTTGCTGATGAAGGGAAACCAAAGGACACCCGATGAAGGTCTTAAGTTACGTTCTGTGTTACCCCCGGCTGTGTTTGAGCAGGACTCAGGTCCCACGCTGTCCTCGCACTAAATGGATAAGCACACGTTCAACGGCCTTTCACGACCGAGTGCCATGAGGAAGCCACTGAAAAAATAAACATGACAACGATTCGCAAAACGACCGATACCTGCAAGAGCAGGCCGATCTGGAGCCGGGCTCCTTCGCGCTTAGTATTACATCCTTTGCGCTCAGGCCTCCAAAGCTGGCTCTATGAACATAAAGGCCTCGTTTGCGACCACGTCTCCTGAATGCAAGAACATCTGAATCTGGAGTAAGAGGCCATACTGTAGAACAGCTACCCAGCAGAAGCATGGCTTCAATTCTGTCCGGTTCTGTGGGCCTTCCGTGGTCCCAAGTCATGTTCAAAAGGCAGAGGTTGAAAAAAAGAAGAACAGTGACAAACCGAGACAGTCCATGCACGTGTCCAAGGTTTTGGACGTTGCTGCAGGATGTGGCTATCAGCATCCTCAAGGTGTTACATGGCAAATGGAAATGGATGTGGAGATGGGGATCTTTCACTTCCAAAAATGGAAAGTCTTCAAGCTGTGTCACTTTCCAATTAACAAGTGTGGTAACGACTGGAGCGATTAGACGCGTTCCCATTGATCCCATCAAACAGCTAATTGCCAAGCAGTCCTCTCCCAACTCCTTCTCTGCACACCCATGGCACAACGAGTTGGCAAGGAACTGGAAAACAGCAGGGTGATCGACAAGGGATGGCGTGTGGCATACTCCAAAGAAGCCAGTTATACTTGGCAAAAGGACAAAACATGACAACACATTACTGCTGCACTCTCACTTGCCTGGTGTGCATTACGCCTGCACTGAACTCAGGAGCTCGCGCCCAGATCCTTGAAAACTTGTTCAGGTCCATTCCTTTCAGACCTAGTTTTTTGAACTATGTCTGAAAGAGTCCTACTTTTTTGAACATCCGGGGGAAGCCCCTCTATTTCATGAAATCGGATGTGAAGCTGAAGACCAACACGGTTGTCAGACTCGTGTAGCAAAGTGTTGGCAACCAAGTCACGTTTTGAGTCGCCGAAGCATTGAGCCAGCATCGTGCGGAAAAGACTACTTGCTGGCTGGGGTCAGGGAAACTTCTGAATGTGAATTGTTAACTTCTGATTGCTACGAAGGCTACTTAACTGAAATGATCCTCCAGCCTGTAGTCACCTCAATGTCCATACAAAAAAGCGATAGCCCCGGACCATCACCGTGAAAGCAAATCGTATCAAAACCAAACTATGCTGTACATATCATATTATACTCTATTATAAGCTTTCTAGTTAAAGAAGGCACACCTTCTCGCAATCTGATGAGCTCCAGGCTGGATCAGAACACTTGAAAATTTGAACTTTTTGTCCGTGCTTAATGTTGACCTGTGACTGATAAACACCCCTTCAGAATAATGTGTTTTGTCTCGCGCAGATTAATAAAGGTCACCTGAAAAATGTGTTTTTTTGGGGGAGGGATGGTTTTTTGTGGAATATTTGTTCTTGTATATTACTATTCTTCCTCTATGGCTTAATAATTTTGAAGGTCTTTGGATGCAAATTTCCATTGAAAAGTCTGCGCGCACTTTCTTTACAAAATCCATTATTAAAAATATTGAACAATCATATCAGCAAAGGGGGTAGTCCACCAAGCAAGTTTCTGGGTTATTTTTTTTGGGGGGGGCCAGAATAATGTCTAGAGATTCGGAGCTTCTTGGATTGCAGCTCTCTTGAAAATGATTTTCTCCTTTGTGTTTTCTTTTCCAAAAATCCAAAGAAGTGTCCACCATACAACCTACAATGTTCGCTGAAAGTATTTCTATTGAATTTTGAGATTTCCATTAGGACTTGATGATGTTGAAGGTCTTTGATTGCAAATATCTATTAATTTCTTGAGATGTCCGTTAGGATTTCATGATTTTGAAGGTGGATTCCTTTCATTTTCATGAATGGATTTGTTTTCTATCATATCATTCTAGAGTATCCAATGGTTGAGGGAGGGAGGGGACGGGGGGGACCGAGGGGTTGATTAATGAACAGTCACCATTATTGCCCCACAGGCTCCGCGTCGATTACCTCACGGGCCACGAGAAAACCCGAAAAAGCAAAACCCCAAAAATTTGAAAACTTAATTTCCGCGCTCATTGCCCCACAGGCCACGCGAAAACCCAAACAATTGAAAACACGACAATTCGAAAACGTATGTCCGTGCGTATGGCTCCACAAGCTATACAAAAACTTGAAAAGTCGAAAATTTGAAAACCTGTTTCCGCGCTTACCACACTCGAAACCACGCGAAAACTCGAAAACTCAAAAAATCAAAAATTTGAAAACCTGTTTCCGCGCTTACCGCACCCGAAACCACGCGAAAACTCGAAAACTCAAAAAATCGAAAATTTGAAAACCTGTTTCCGCGCTTACCGCACCTGAAACCATGCGAAAACTCGAAAACTCAAAAAATCGAAAATTTGAAAACCTGTTTCCGCGCTTACCGCACCCGAAACCACGCGAAAACTCGAAAACTCAAAAAATCGAAAATTTGAAAACCTGTTTCCGCGCTTACCGCACCTGAAACCATGCGAAAACTCGAAAAATCGAAAACCTGAAAACGCGAAAAATTAAGGATTGTAAAGACAATGTTAACTTTTTGAATTTTTGAATTTTTGGACGGTTTTGTGCTATTGGTTCGGGCAAGTAGTTTTTGAATTTTTGAATTTTTGGGTTTTCCCATGCACATTTTTTTCTGTGGGGTTTAGAATTTTTGGATTTTGGAATTTTTGAATTTTTGAATTTTTGAATTCCGTGTGTCTTTTCAAGTTTGGAAATGTCGCGTAAAACGATTGCTTAGGATGGTCATGGCCCTAGGGCCCTTGAAAGGCATGGTCTTCCAAATCCCACCTTCGGACAAAAGCCGGTCGCCTGTTTGTTTCCAGCTACCGCCAAGCCAACACCCCAAAGGCAGGATCACCACGAAAACCTGTTGCACACCAGCCACGGCCGCCGAAGAAGGCACCCAAACGCTTCAGCTTCAGCGCGCCATGAACGGCCGAGGCGCCAGCAAGCCAGCGGGATACCCTGCTTTCACCTCACGGCGCCTCACCGGCGACCGAGCGGCTCGAGCGACCGGGGACGGCTCGTAGCGAGCGAAAAGTCCTCTTGGCTCCGTTCGGTTCGCGAGACCTGTTCGTTGCTACGTTCGTAGCTTCTTGCTACACGAAGGTCTGCACTGGAATTATTTATCCGCTTGCAGTTCCACCACAGTTCGTCAGAAACAACAGCTGTGAGGCTCGAGCCTGGCACCCTTGCCCGGTAAGCTCACCTTGGGAAGCAAGCGCCGACATGAACCAAGCGCCGACATATTGACTCTCTTGGATATAAACATCCCCCCTCTGAGCGAAATCCTTTGTTCTTGGCCCCACCAGATTTGCAGAAAGTCATTTCTTGGGTGGCCCTCCTCGCGGCAAATGCCCCAAACCCCATCCAAAAGCCACTCTCACTGCTTGCAACAACAGCACTCCCCACTAATGTTCACTTAATTAAACGGCCCGGTCTCCAGAATAGTTTTACATCTCCAGTCAGTCCTGGAGGTTTTATGAATCATCAGCCCCCAGGGTGTCATCAAAGCAGCCTTGATTGTCTCCCCCTCCTTCAGCGATAGATCTTTCCTCAGCATGGCCATGAATACACAGCACAAAAAAAAAAAAAAACGGCCTGACAGCCATCAGCTGTCGGGTCCACTGGTTGTGAAGCTGCCGAACGATGGGTTCGATCACTCTGAACCACCCGGTCACGCAGCAGCCGGGCATTCGGGGTGGTTGTCCAGGTGGCGGCCTCTGAGATGATCGGATCACCCAACGGCGTCGGTTGGCAACCATAAGGCCACCAGACTGTGCCCCTCATCACGTAGGCGCCACTGACCAACCTCACAGCCTCACTGGGCTGTTTTGAAGTAAGGCCTGACATGGTTTAGCAAGGGCGATGGGAGAGATTCAGCACTCTCGCATCTGGACCTGCCACCTCTGCAGATGCCAAATCTGAGTGGTCCTGGGGTCCTATTATAAGCGGGGGGAATCGCATATCGCACTCTTCTTCAAGAATGTGGTTGACAACTGCAGTGACCGACGGAGAACAGTCCAAGACTTGGATGTGGAAGCTTACTTGAAGTGAAAATGAAGGGACCATATGCGTGCCATTTCTTCCTGGGACCCCCCCTCATTTTGAGACGAACCCCATGTTCTATCCGACCCCTGCATCAAAGGCTCGTGGGCATTGCTTCCGCTGCTTTGGCTTCATGGACCTTGTCAATGAATGTGGCCTTGCAGCAGGATCGATGGGCGAAGCCGGTCGAGGCGGTGGCCAAAATAGGCTATACGCCTATCCACCGTTCTAAATCTTTAAAACTCTATATGATATATACGTATACAATGATCACCTTTGATTCATACCCCCCTATTTGGAATATAATATATAACCTCCTCATATGGCTTTATAATCGACGACACTATTTGTGGATAGCATTCTAAGTGCTAGCAGATTGACATCTCCCTCACCACCCCAGGGAAAACACCCAACACCCCTTCTCTATCAAAAAAACAAAACCAAAAAAGAACTCACCCAGCTGCAGTGCTCGGTCCATCTTCCAATAAGAATTGTTGTTTGATGCTTTCCGTGGTTTCTCCATGTTCTCGCTAACACCTTCCCACAAGCACCTTGAAATCGGCCAGGCAAGCATTAAAATCAAACGCATCATTCCCTCGGTCGGTTTGAGAAGCAGTGCCGTCTTGGAAGAAACGAGGAGGTGCCAATCTGAGATCGTTGGTGCAGTCTCTGGGTCAATGTTGGTCTGACCAAACGGCTGGCTTTCGAGGGCCGCGCGCTCGCTGAAGCCAAAGCCGATGAAGGCGTGCCGCGGACCATTCACCTGCTCGGCGTGGTGGTGTGCCGCACGCGGCGCACGCGCGGACCCGGTCTTGCCCGGTCTTTGGCATTGGAAGAGCACCCCCCCAGACCCTTCGAACCCTTGGAGGAGGCCAAGAAAGCAAGGCCAGTGGATTGGCATCACGATCTCATGCGGAACAACATGTCTTTTGGAGGGGACGGGCTGGAGGCGCACAGTCAAGGGACCGGTGTAGTGCTTGAAACAACTGTTCTTGGGTATGCACCAGGCTTTGAACCGGAACCATGATGGATAAGCATGCTGTGGCTGTTCCTACGGTTCATTGCACATGGATGTGTGCATGGAGATAGGGAGGTGCTTGGAGGGTCTTCGGACTCTGATCTTTGGGGATCCCCAAAACGAGTTCGCTTCGTGTTCCCTTTAGACGTCCACAGGCAGCTGGAAGAACCCCCGGCCCGGCCCTTCCGCCCCAACGTCCCACCCGCGGACCGGGGGCCCCCGCGATCTTGAGAACCCAGTACCGACTCGAGTCCACCACGCGCTCCACATAGTGCTCATACAAGCCATCTGGAATGACCTGAAGAGGCAAACCCTGTAAGGCTACCTGCCTCCATCAGCTGTGCGCAGCTGATTCTTTTGTTACTTGCGGCCTGTTGGTTGGTCAAGGCTGGCTAACATAGTCTCAGATGAAGAGGCCAGGAGGCGAGGACAATCATACCTTCTCGGCCTTTTGGCTATGATCAAGTGTAGTATCTGTTCTTATCAGTGTGAGGGTTGAGGGCTTCCGCGGAGAGTGTCCTGGGGAGTGCTCCAGTGAGTTCTTACGAAGATGTCTGTTGAAGCACTTGGCATTCCGACCAATGCATTTCAGGAACCTTTGTCCTCCCTCGCAGTGGTGGGCGGAAGCTCAATGACCTTTTCTATTCTTTTCAGACCCCCGTCATCCCTAAAAGGTTTGCAACAGCCAATGCCATGTCCAACCAAGGAACACACTGCGCGAACAAGTTGCCGGAACTGCTGTCCAGCAAACCTGCAGCAAACATGACCGAAACATCAAATTCATGGAACGGCACTGACAGAAGAAAGAACATGAGACCAAGGAGGTGGTACCCACACGTCCTTCTGAGGTTATGATGTAAAATTTCGCAATTGCCACCTCCTTTGTGTCGCAGGACAGTCCAAACGGATCAAACCGGTGGGCCGATCTGCTACTGTCCCACGTCGTCTGCAGCCAGAGCACGGATGGACAACTCTGTTCCTCGAGCGACGATGCGAAGGTTTCCTCGCCAGATCGCTTCCTGCCGATTTTCTTCCAGGTCCCTGCTAATGAAAATGCATTGCTGGTGATATGACATGGTACAGCCCAAAGCCAGAAAGAAATTGGTCGAAAAAGAAACTGGGAAATCACAGCAACTGATCTCACTCCACTTCTTTTCCTAGCTGATACTTGGGAAGGCAAAGATCTCATGCTTGAAGGGACAAGCAAAAGGGTGACAGGGGGACATGGGGACCTCTGCGGATTTCGCTCCGCGGGTCTCTGTCCTGCCAATCTGAAGCTTTGTGGCCGGATGCCGATGCGGCTGGCGGCACCTGCATGCAGGCAGCGCAGGCAGGAGAAGTACAGATTCTTACCACTGAGCACATTGACCAAGCAGCCTATTCAAGTGAAGCTGCACTTTCAGAAAGACCAACTTCGCATCCTTGGCCTACCACTTCCGACCCTGGCTATGCGCCAGCTTCCATCTCCATCGTTCACACAGCTGCCATTTCGGCACAGCAGTCACGCCTTGTAGACTTTGGCGTCTCGCCTCAGTGGCAGCGAAAACTACTGTTCTGACCCCTCATGTGAGCCACGTGAAAAGGTGCCTACATTTAGCTCACATGTCTGATGTGCATGGGCAGGTACCAGTTTATTGTTGTGCTGCATCTATGTCGGAGCCTGAAGAAGCACCATTTCTTGACAGGATGCTTGTTCAAAAGGACGTACTCGACATCAGGGTCCCGCTCGTCCGCCATCGCTACCAACCAGTGTCCGTCAAGGCTAGTACTAGCTTGATGTTCTTATTGTTGCCGTTTTGAGTCTCCCCATCTGAGCTGATGTCCCAAAATCCGATTCTGAATCGCGATCAAATACTACACAAGGCGTTTGCAAGTTTGGCACACTGGCAGTCTCCCAACGAATTCCCGGCGAAAGTGCTCTACACGAATGATGCCAGGTCATGAGCTAGCAGGGTGTGCAGTAGTGGAGCTGACCTGTAGCTGCTACAAGCCGCCACATGTTCCGAGCCGCAACATGTTTTCAGGAACAGGATGGAGCAGGTACATTCACATTGATGAACAAAGATTCAAAAAGCGACTCTTCAACTCGAGAGACTGCAGCTTCCCACTTTAAACTGTGTCGATGTGTCGATGTGTCAGTTCTTTTGCATTCACGAAACTGGAAAGCCAACTCAAGCTCAGATCTTCCGTACCCTTTCAATTGGCCAGTCCGGATTCCACGCATCAGCCATGGACCCTTCCAACTCTTCTCGGATGGCAAGCTGAAGCTTTGACTTCGGCCAATCAGGACTCCAATGACCTTCATGGAAGTCGCCCTCTCCTGAAGAACTTCGTTCTCCTTCATCTGACACCAGCCGCCCGAAGAGATTGCTCTCCAAGGCCACTTCATTTCCTTCGAAGACCACGTTGCCTGCCTCTGTCCAGGTCAACTGCCTCATGGTCGAGAAGAATTGTTTCTTGACCTGGGAAGAAGTAAAAATGTCCATCGAGTCACCACCAATGTCTGCCAGCCGTGAAGCCAGCTCCTGCGGAGATACGCCATCACCCTCCACTTGCAAATCGTCCTGGTCGTCCAACGCCAGCGAGAACACCAGGTTCTTGTAGCGGCGGAAGCGGCGGCAAATTTCCAAGACCTGCTGCTCCAGAAGCCTCTCGGACCCCAAAGGTGACAAAGGAAGAGCCAAAACATTCAGCAAGGAGCGATAGGCTGCAGAGAGGTACACGCCAAGTTCCAAGCCGATGCCTAGCTCCCTTCCAAGCCCATTCTCCAACTCATTCAAGAACTCCACACTGGGAAATTCGAAGTTCTCGTCAGCGTTCACAGTGATGATCTCCAACTGTCGGTCCATCTTTTCTTCCGTTTCCAGGTATAGGCTGAGCAAGATCTTTGCAAAACCTGCAAGGGCCAGCGACGTCCACACCACGACAATCGGAGAACCGAATCGCCGTAGGTCGACGTTCCTCTATCGTCCACAGATTTAGGTTTAGACGAAATCACTGTTGTTGAGCTTCTGAATGCAGCCGAGCATCTGGGATCCCGCAGCAGGCCTTTGGCCAAAAGCACCACTAAATAGTAGGACCATGGTCTATATGCCATCAATTCCCGGTATGAGTGAACCACAACGCATTCTTTGCGCATGTGCCTCAACACCAAGATTTGGAACACTTTCAAGGTTGCTAGTGCCTCGGCATCAGTCACCAAGCCCGTAATGAGGATGCGCGCTTTGCGGTATCCTCCCCTCTCACCTTCCGAACTTGGACCAAAGAGTTTCGTGGAAACCTGGCTCAGCTGAAGCATCTCTAAAACCACCGCTTCGAGTTGCTCTTGAGACCCGTAGCGAGACAAGTGCAGGCTTGGCAGTTGATGCAACCACCCTTGAGCTCTCTGCACATCTCTAAGGCCGATCCCATGGAAGGCCAAAATTTGTTTCTGCTCTGGCGTCCAATGGTCCCCCAGCTTCTGAAGCATCTCATCCGTGGGTGGGACATAGTCATCACACTTCACAGGCACGATTCGGACCCTGTTTTTCAGGGCAGTCACCACTTCACCGGCACACCACAACTGCTTGAGGAAATCGGGTGTGAGGACAACCACCACGCTCTTGGTTTTGACTCGGATCACATCGAAGATGGAATCCAAGTCGTCGAGCTGGTCGACGTCCAAAAAAATGCCGGCATCGCTGTGTGCAGAAATCAAGAGCTTCAGAAGACGACAAAGGCTGCCAGCACTTCCCTTGTCATAGCACAAGAAGATTCCGAAGGGGATTGGTGGCCGGACGTAGCCCCACAAAGCGTAGCTTAGGACGATGAGACCACAAAGGAATGGGCTCAACACGGCAAAGGCCAGCAACCAGCCCAGCATTTGAATTGATCTGGCTCTGTCCCGGTGGATCAAGGGCGAAATTCCAAGTAGCAAGATTTGAAGCAAAGATGTAATCATGAGGTCAGTGTAATTGGCCACATCTGCACGCCATGGCCAGAGCCGAGCTTGTACTGCAGCACTGGTCAGCAAAAGCGCCCCCATGATCTCTCCCTGAACTTCAGGGACGGTGGTAAGCATCACTGGCAGCACCGCCAGCAAAGCATTTCGAATGAGCAGCAGCAAGCCATAGTAGTAGCGTTCTGGTCTGAATCGCTGGAAGACAAAACGATGGCGATACACCAATTGCAGCCCAACACCTGATTTCACTCTGGAGGGGTACATAAGTATGGTGTATGTGGTCCAAGCGAGGATGGACACAGGGTAAGCGAGGATTCCAAGGCTGGAAAGAAGGAGTAAAATGGTGTGCTCCCCCGAGTTGAAGCAAAGAATGCCTGGGTTTGACAACATCGAGCTGGATCCATCGGGGTTAGCCACACATTGAAAAGGGTCCAGCAGAGCCAAGGTTACAGAGATAAAGAGTGCAAATACCAGAGTTCCACATAGGTTGAAAGTATCATCATTCAGCATGGCTGGCTGGCGTCGGCCTTGCAGCTTCCGAAAGCACCAAGCTATGCCAAGAAGCCCTACAAACAGCGGGAAGATGGAGAGTTTCCCAACCAACTTCAAGGTGGGACTATCCTCGCCATAGATGCAGGATATTTTCACCACGTCCAAGTCAAATGCGACAAGTTTTGACAAGCGGATCAGTCTTTGAACCGGTTGGACCCATTCCACACGCAGATGTTGGATGGAGGTCAAGGCCTGCACAGCGGTCACCAATTGACCACCAACTGCTGCCACCGTGAGCGTGTTGAGGCTCAGTTGGTCGACATACCCATGCAAGAGCCGCACAAACCTCGGATGCCCACGGTTGTAGAAAGAGACCTAGAAATAGAAAGGTGAATCCCTTTGAAAGACTCAGCATCTATCTATACTTGGAAGTTTTGCTGTGCATCTCAAGCATCAAATGCTCTGACTGCCCCCGCACGCACGTATGAAAAGAAATTTGAGAGGCAAGAGCGGCAGCAAGAGAACAGACTTTGCTCACTCCACCACTATCTGCTAGAGAATTACTATCAATGGAGGCAATGGTGTACTCTCTAACGCCCCAGCGCACCAATAAGACTTGTGCGGAAATGCTCGAACCCTAATCCTAATCTGGAACAACCTTTGTGTCGCTAAGCTGACAATTCCACCCATTCAAAAAATGTTTGCCATGCGTGTGTCTCAAGGTGAGGGGAGGGGGCCTAAATCAATACGGTCAATACGCTATAAATTCGTTAAGGAGGGGGTTCCCAATTGATTCATATTGATTCTATCGCGCAAAGTAGGGGAGCGGTCCTTTGTAGTGATATATCAACTCGGTCCTTTGGAACTATCAATTCCGAGAGCCTTCCTTGAAAAGCCAGCGCTTCAGCAAACCGAGGTGTTCGGAGCTCGCGGAAGAGGTGCAGCCGAGACGCAACAGGAAAAGACTCAGCACGATACATCCACCAAGGATGGCTGGAAGCAAGTCGACGGATGTACACTCAGCACATGTGCCAGAATCCTGTGGAAAATAATTCGCCTTGCAGTTGTTGCACGCGAGCCCTTGACGTCCATCTGCGCACTCGCCCAAAGGCCGACCTCCTGGGCATTGCAATTCATCTCTGCAGCGTAGCACACGGAAGTTGCAAGATGAAACATCTGAAGCCCAGAACCCGGGCTGATGCACAGGCAGCCCCAGACCTTCACATAGGAGACCTTCAGGACAAGGCACACAACCAACTGGCCGTACACTGGTGTTGCAAATGAAATAACCAGCGCCGCAACGGCATTCTGAGAAGGATTGTGCTCCGCTCTCTTCGGTCACTTGCCCAAATTTGCAGGCGATGCAGGACTCTGATTGAGAGAAGGGTGTGTAGCTTCCCTTTGGGCACCGCTCGCAGAGCTCCATCCCGGACCTGTTGGCAAAGAATCCCGGAACGCATTTCGTGCACTGGGTCGCGCCCAAGTCCGCTGAGAAGCTGCCCTTGTCACATGGACTGCACGAAGCGGAACCCGTGACGTTGGAGAAATGCCCTTTATGGCACAGTTCTGGCAAGCCATTTGGGCATTGGAAGCCCCGTGGGCATGGCTCACAGCGCCTCGACTCTTCTTGGTAGCCAGCAGGGCAGCTCATCAGAGCGGGAGGAGGAACTCCAGTTCTGGATCCATCCATCCAGTAGGGGCCTCTCTCCACAGTCAACTGATTACTGGATGTGCTGAAGATGCCTGCCAACTTCCAACCGTCTGGCTGCATGTTTTCCAACTCGAAAGCGGCTGCCCTACGGTCACCATTCCCATCAAAACTGACGAACCCTGATGTTCCTTCAAACTCTGTGACAAGTAGCTGGTCCAGCAACTTTTTGCCTTTTATTTCGGCAAGGGGAGTGCCCTTGTTCAGCAGCTCATTGACAGCCAAAGCATAGGCGTAGCAGGCATCAAAGTAGAAGGTGGAATAGACATCCAAAGATGCATCCGCATCGGAAAAAATAGCATCTGCAATGGGCGGAACAACCGCTTCATCCAGACTGATTCGAAACTTGTCAATCTTATAGCGGCCCCTTGATTGTGCAGAGACCACATCATCGGCTCTCATTCTCGCCCAGTGGCTTCGAAATGCTTCAAACCTTAGACCTCTGCTGACTGGTTTCCATCTCATAAAACCAACAGGAAAACGCTCGAAGGACAGTGCCGTTTCAGAGGCCAAAACTTGCCAATTGCTCCCCAGCATGCCCGCCTCTTCGAGCACAGGAAGAAGATTGGTCGTCCCGCCCACATTGGCGGAGAGAAACAGAAAACGTGAACCAAAGGATCGGGCAACGTCAATCGCCTTCAAGGCTTCATCCCTGACAAAATTTTCCGGCATATCACGAAGAGCAACACCTCCAAGGCGA